GCGCTATTCGATTTTGATTCCTATTCTGAATACTACAAGAGAATAGCTCCTTGAGTGGATGGTAAAAGTGAAGAGTTACGACCCTTATATTTGGTAAAATGTGATCGATGGGTGAAATAATTACTTAACAGATTGGTAAGCTCCGACTGAATGCCTTCCTCAGAAAGAGTGTGAAGAAGTTTGGACCTATCAACACAATTAAAGGTATCACTATAATCAAAGAAACATACCCGAACAGCTTTACATTTCCTGTCCAAGGAGGAAGAGATATAATGAGTTAGGGATGCCAACGCATCAATGGTTGACCTAGAACTGCAGTAGGCAAATTGATTAGGATCAGGTGCATTCAGCTGGGGTAGCATCTTTTGTAGTAAAATCTTTTCCATGACTTTCAAACCCACAGAAGTGCAAGCAATCGGGAGAAATTTTGAGGATCCCTTTTTGGGTACTGGTGTGATAGAAGCCACTTTCCAGCAGTCCGGAATGCAATGTTTAGTGAAACACAGGCTGAGTAGTTTGGTGAAAACAGGAGAAAGGGAGGCTGCACATTATTTGAGCAAAAACAGGTGGCCGTCCATCAGGATCGCATACTTTACTAGACTTTAGGTTGATGAAGGTTTTGGATCCTTCAGTTTGATCAGTACTTAAATTAACAACATTAGGAGCGGGGACAACTGCTGTGAATGGAATGGGGGTATCGGTTTCAACATTGTTGAATTGGCGATTGATATCGTCCACATTGGCAGCTGGAAGATTCCCCTTCGTTTTAAGACCGCAGAACTCAAACATCATTTTCCATGTATCCCGACAATTTCTGTTTGCCAGCAGTGCATGTACATAAGCGGCGTTTACTTTCCGCAATTCAGCCTTGATTGCTTTCGAATGGTCTCTCACCAAAGAGTACTTTTTTGCCTTGACAGCTTGTTCTTTCTTCCGACGCAGTCGTTTAAGTGTAGGGGACGAAAAACGGTCTGACTGTATGTGTTAAGTTTCCCACGGACAGCACGTATCATAACAGAACTTCAAGTATTCAGTCAGGGTATCACAAAATATAGCGAAGTCATTATGTACAAATAAAGAGAAATCTGTCTGATCTAATATATATCTTAGTCTAGCAAGATTCTCGGGTTGGCATTGACGCCGGCGAAGACGAAGATCACGATGCCGAGTGTAAAACTGATATTGGATCTACTACTGTAGATCGTGGGAGATAATTTCAGTGTTGCATGATCAGAGATACCAAGTTAAATAAATTCAGGTCGTTAATGAAACACAAATCAAGACAAACCTCAAGTCTGGTTGGAAAGTTAACGTGTTGTAGTCCAAGGGTTGTCAAAAATGTGACATCAAACCTATTAAAGTCTCCACAAACGATGCAAAGGGAGGAGTCTAATTAATTTAGTAAAGCGGCGGAGAAAATATCAGTGAACTCGTTAAAATGATCAGTGAAACAAGAGGGAGAAATGTAAATGCTACCAAAAATAATGTTTTGGTAGTTACTGAGGTGTTTAATTCTGCATTTGTACAGTGAAGTACTGATAAAAATGGTAGAATACATAAAGACTCGTTTGCCTGATTTGCACCAATTGTCATTTATGTATGTGGTAACTCCACCGCCTCGTTAGTGAACCGGAACGGGTCGGTCAACTCGGCAGATGGAGAAATTGTCAATTTTGACCACGTTATCATCAATTTCGTTGTGGAGCCAGGTCTCCTGAAACATTACGACTCCAACCTTTGAATATTCACAACTCCTTGTCAGATCTGCCATGTTGCCAAGCAAGAAGCGCACATTTCCACTGATAACTGCTGGAATGCAGGTGTCTGAGACTGATCGTTTGCGTAGTGCTGTATTTTCTGGGAAATCTTTTGAGATTTCCGAAAATTTTCCTCTCCCTGTTACGAACTGATTTGCCAAAAGAATGTAAAATCCAGTGGCCAGAAGTTCAAATTCGCTTCATGAAAACGGCAGAGTATTTCACAGAATTTAGGATGAACATAATCACACACCGTTTCTATGGCAAAGAAGGACGTGTATCCCAGATAAATCCAGTGAAGAGTGATTGTATAGTTCCGAGTCCGACGATGTAACAGACCGCGCGGCCAATTTCGAAGGCCCCGCCTTCTGTTTCTGTCTTGACAATCTGGAATTTGTTCTGCAAGNGTGGGAGATAATTTCAGGGTTGCATGATCAGAGGTGCCAATAGGGGAACGGCTATGCAAGTTAAATAATTCCATTTCGTTAGTGAAACACAAATCAAGACAAGCCTGGAGTCTGGTCGGAAAGTTAACAACG